CCGAGCGAGATCTTGCAAGTATGCAAGGTCAGCCAACTTCTGTTGGCATCTGAGCAGGGAGCGGTCCACCGGTACGCCAACAAGACTCTGGAGGAGATCGACGTTAGCGGTAAATGCTCTCTCTCTCTCTCTCTCTCTCTCTCTCTCTCTCTCTCTCTCTCTCTCTCTCTCTCTCTCTCTCTCTCTCCTCTCTCTCCCTACCTCTCCCCTCTCTCTTTTTGTTTCTCTCTCTCTCTGTCTCTCTCTTTCGCAGCAATCAATGCTTATCTCTTTTCAATGTAGAAAACCATATCGGTTTTCTATATTGAAACAATGTATTGAAATTGCAATAGAGTAAAAGTCAGGCATACAAAATGTGGCCTCTTGGTGTTGCTTGTGTTGCACTGAAGTTTCATATTCCTTCGAAATATTTCTTTTGATTGACTGTAATGCGAAATATTGAGCTTCTTGAACTTTGCAGAGGAAATTTCATACCGCTTATATGTGTTCGCGTTGGATTTTGTATTTGGCCTTCGATGTTTCTTGGGTAGGTATATGTGCTGTACAGAATGCGATTATTTTTCCTCTTTCCTGTAGCTCTGTTTGCAGTGGGCAAATAGGTATCACCCCCTCCCCCCCCACACACACACACGCGGAGACATGGCCAATTCATGCCGCACTGGCGAAGATAGACGCTTACCAGCCCATTCCCATGAAACCGATTGATTAACACGTGCAGTGGAACAGGAAGGGAGGCGGATATCGCCCACCCCTCCTGTTTTTCGCAAATTACTCACGCCCTAATCAGCCCCCTCCAAAGTCATATGGCGGCATGGGCGTGACTTTTCCTACTAGCCCATAGGGTTGCGTGTTAGAATGCGACTCTTCGCACTCGGTTTTCAAGGTCGCGTAGTGTGGGCATCCACATACAAAGTATGTTAAAAGATAGCTACAACATTTTTATTTCCATTTTTGGGATGAAAAGTTAAAGCACATCCAACCATTTTCGAGATATTCGTCCATATATGACCCATGTTTTTGATACCTCGGAAGGTTCGGTGTTCGAATCTCGGCCAGACCGAAACTTTTATCGTTACGGCGCGGCAAACCATGGCTGCAAAGTAAAGTAGGGGTGAGCGCGCTGGTGATGGAGAGTTGTAACTTGGCATACCTGACCTTTGATTCAAGCCGGATTTTGACGATGAACACTGAACAGTGAACATTCTCATATATGCAAACATGCCACTTTGGGTTTCAGAGTAAGTGGTTCCCAATCGTGCATATTACATGTTCCACACATCACATTACTGCTCGTTACAATGCAAATAGGCTTTGGCTCGTTGCAAATAAACTTTGGCATTGAAATATGCCACGGACACGGTGTTACACTTATAGGGACTATCCCACCTTCTAAAATGTTGTTAAAACCAGTTAAATTGTGCCCGACTTTATAGATTGGATGACCAGGAACACGGTTCTGGCATTTATTTTTCATTTAACATCTTAGGCTTCCCATATTCCAAACACAAACTTTCAAATATGTGACGTCACAGCCCAAAATTACCTCCTTCCCCAGGCCACATTACTGTCATAAAGCTGATTCTTTTTACTCTGTAGGCACCACAACAAAGTTCAGACCAAGTTTTAAGCGATTTTTCAACGAACAAACCCATTTAAATCAGAATGACTAAACGAGGTGACGTCACACTAACGGTCGCTCCATGTTGAAGATAGGGCCTTGTACAAGGCCCATTTTCAAATGAAGCGAACGAATTTCTTCAACACCAAGAGGCCGCGGGGGTTGCAACCTAGATAGATAGTGGTTTCTGAACCTCGCCGCAAACTTGGCTATCTCAACTCAAACCCCATATTAAAGGTGGGATAGTCCCTTTAACATTGACCATAAGATATCACGTATCAATATCAGTAACATTCAGCTCATCCTCAACACATGAGACGGAAAACACTACGGTAACCCTCTCATACAGGGTGTTTCATAATGAGTGTTTATTGTAAATGTACCATTGGAGGATCTTAAAGGGACAGTATCATCGAAAGAAAAAATCAATGTATGGAGCTGATTTTTTTTACTAGCATTTGTTATTTTTCTGAATCAAAAAAACATAGTTTGAGGACCGAACTCGGTGAAAAATATTTTTTCATGAGCGAGTCATTTTCATGAGCGAACCACCACTACAAGCATGGCGGCCACTTTGGAAGCCTGCGAAATTACTACAGAACTGGCGCAGATAATGCATTATTGACGCTACGTTTACGCGGCCGCTCTTCTGATTGAGTTGTCGTTAGGGAAAGGCAGCATTAGGTATTGCCCAGAAGATATCACGTGATACATTACGTGTCACGTGATAAAATAAAATAAAATCACGTGATGCATCACGTGATCACGTGTCATACATTGGAGGGAGATTGTGATTCAAGCTGGAGTAATTCCTTTGTTGAGCCGCTAGAATCCGAAGGAAACAGCGGAAATTGCCTACGACTATTTGATGAATTTAACGGTGATGAATAAGTGCGAAAAACGTTTTGGCTTTATAAAATTTGATGAAATGACCAGGGTAAAAGTTTTATTACTGGCGGTAAATTCAAAACGGCGCAAACATTTAAACAGTGAAGATAGTGAAGCACGATTCAAAGTGTAGTAGGGTAAGGGCGGGTAAGAGTACGCGGGCGATAAGAGTACGCATCAGCTGTTTCGGTTGCTTAGCAAAGCGGGTTTGTCGAGTTCATGAAGTGACATGAAGCCGCCAGTGCGTGCATGTCACCAACGGAACGTGGGCGTTGAGCGGCGACGCTGTTGAGTTTAAGGCGATGAATATTATTTTCGAGCGTTATGATATTATTATGATATGGTACAATAATTTTGATACTTGGCAGTTGAGATAAGGTACATTTCCGTGATTGTTGTGGGAAACTTGTGAGGTTATCTGGGGAAATACTGTACAGTGCAATATTCTGTTTGCGAAGTTTTGCACAACGTTTCGGGGTTGTTTTGTGCGCGAATTGCATGTACGGTGAGAGGACGCACTGTTCAGGAGGGTAAGAGTACGCAGAATTATACATTAAATCGAATATACAGAAATATAGAATTATTAATCTATCGCTCAATGACGTTTGTTTTGTTGGTATATCATCAATGGAGCACTGTGATGCAGATGCGTACCCGAAATTCTTCCAAATACGAGTTATTCTCCTTTTTGATTGTGCATTTTTTTTTAAGAAACACGACATGATTATTTCCTGATTTATAGACTTGAAAGATTTATTTTATGTTTTTCTTTTTGGATACTAGAATGAGCTTAAATCCCTTCTGAGTTTGAAGTTAAGCATTTGATTTTGGACGGTGCAAGCTGCATAGGTGTGTGTTCATATGCTTGCGTACTCCACCCGCCTGGCGTGCGTACTCTTACACACCCCATATGGTAAGAGTACGCAAGTGCAACGGTTCAGAAAATGTCAGTTTTAGACCACTTCCATTTACGCTGAAGGATCGTTGCTCCATGGGTTGATGGCTAATTCAATGAACTTTAATATTCCCTATTTGCGATTTCTTTCCTTCAAATATTAAACAAATGAGAGCAAGAAATCCACTAAGTGCGTACTCTTATACGACTTCACCCTACACCTTTCGTACTTTGAGCGGCGATAGCGGGATAACGGTGTGGAGCTTCGAGGATCGGTCTTCAGTTCCCGTACCAGAAAGGTGGGGCCTATGCAATGTCAAATTTCATCAAAATGGTGATACTGTCCCTTTAAATAAAACAATGATCGATAAATTTATACGAGCATTGTTGCAAAAAGATTGGCTTTTTTATCTGTGCAAAAATTATTCCAAAGCATTCAGTCTCATGGCCGCAATCTGCCGCGATCTCAGTAGCACAGATGCGATGCACTGCGCCGTTCACACAAGGAAAGGCAGTTTGGGCAGTCGCAGAATACGGTAGGCTGAGAAACATAACTGCGGTCCACGGTAGGTATGGGTACCATTTCAAGGAAAAGCATAATATACCATTACGGAATTACGGCGCAACCCCCCCACTACACTTCTGGAACTGCAAAACACCGTAGATGCATTTGCTCGTGGGCTGAAGCCAGAGGACGTCAGGCAGGCGGTTCAGCATGTCTGCAGCAAGTCTGCAGGCGTGCACCGTGAGCAGCGTCACCGGGAATGTGGCGTCAGCTGATTGATGCGTTTGCTGCTTTTGAACAATTGCGTACGGTACATATCGTTCACTTTTAAAATTAATTAATGTATCAAATAATATTATTATATATTGACACTGTATATTATTATAATGTGTCAAACTATTATTATTACAATGTGTTATTCAATGTATAATCAAGTCATTATTAAAAGTTTCATATTATAATTTGAGTCTTGGCGAGTAAATAGAAATAGCATATGATCCTCGTAGTAAAGCATACACGTATTTGTGAGAAAATGGATAGAATCAAATATAGCAGCGATTCCCTTTCCTGGTTGATCTAATTTTGGCATCGCTTTTTATTTTACATGCGCAACCATATATCCCTGATGCCGAATATCAGGCGCCGCCGTGCCGGGCATGGACACACACTTCAGATCGGCACGGACTCAGCCATTGTCAGCCCAGCTTGATGCAAAACTGCTTCTGTAAATAAAATAACACTGAAGTGGTGCTGGTTCTCCAGCCATTATATCCAGCGCAAATGAAGGCCGAGGGTCGCGCCTTCGTTTTTTAAAGTTATAAGTTCTTTAAGCTATACGACATCCCGGCGTACCACGTCGCCGTGGGCGGCGTTTCACGGCCGCTGCTAGCACACTGCCACCACACGCAGAAAAATCGGTCTCCACAGACCGACAAACTCGGACGCTCCAATATTGAATGGCGTTAGTTAGCTGGTCTCCAAAGTCAATGCAGTGATTTGACATCGACGTGACCCGTGAACCTACGTGCGGAAAATGTACCAAAAATCCGTCTCGACCATCCGTTCGGAAGCTAGATGAAGAGCCAAAAATCTGCATCCCTCCCAGCGATTCGTTTATTCGTCCCCATACTTCAAGAAGTCCGGTTTAAACGCACATTAACGGATTTAAAACGGAAACAAGCTTCACCACTCACACGCAAAACTGAGGCGAAACTTGAGCTGTCATTCAATTGTATAAATGATGTGAATTTACCACGAGCACAGCGCAGAACCAACATGCTCGGTCCGAACTCAGCTTTGCAGATACCGGCCCTCACCGCGCCGAATAGTCTCACAAACGGCAAAAACAGGTCTGATGCGTGAAATTCATGGCATTCTTATCGTTATATCAGTAATATCGCAGTAGGGGAAGCACACAGGTCGTGTTTAATGTACAGAAAAGTCCGCCAAACAATTACATCCATCATGATAACGAATGTCAGTTAAAACTCACCGGAACTATCGTTCTCATACATACGGCCACGGGAGAGGGGGATGAACGTCACAATGACCAATTGCACAGCAAATGCATCGTAGCGAATGAATCGTACAATTATCCCAGCTATAATTTGATCATAACGAACTTAACCTAGCACCGGTGTAATTCCTCCCCGCCTTCCGCTCTTGTTTATCATTATCTGTTTTAGTATCATTATCATTATAGTTTATATTATCATTATCTGATCATCCTCACAACTATCTCATTCAAATCACCCCGACCCGCACCATATTTCCACCGAAGGGTTCACTCCATGCAAAACTGTCAATCCCGTGACAGACGGTGCCGCGCCGAATGTCCTTAGCACCACCATGCCTCCGTTAAACTTTGGGTGACAAGCCACTATTCGCGCCAGCGCCGGTTGGGACGCCTCGGTGGCTCGGCGCCGCATCGCCTCCGCAGGGGCAAGACTCGGTAGGAAGCGCATCATGAGGTCTCCGTCACCCGGGTGGCGGACGAGCCGCCTACCGCGTCATCCACGCAAATGCTTCGCTATCTTCGTCCACAGGACGCCGTCAGACTGTCGCCCACGAGTCTGGAAGGGAACAGAACGGACGGTCAGACGATCTAAAGGCTATGAATAAGTATTATTCCCTTAGGCTATGGCTAAGGGAACAGATATGAATTAGTATTATGCCCGCAAACTCAAAACCCGCAAACTCGCAACCCGCATGCGAGTTCCAGTGTGGGGCGGCCTTAAGGCGTAGACGTAGTTACGTTAACAGTGAAGGGTACGTTAGTGATGACTAAAAAATTCGTCAAAATTTAGCACTAACATTTTATCTGTGCAAAGGAACGTTATTTCATTAATAGACAATTATGTACGCTAACTTTACAAATCTTGCCACTGTCTCCGAGCCAGAGGGTGCCGTGTGCCAATACTTGAGCAGCCCAATTAACTGCTAAAATAGTTAACACTGGCATGAGATATTATACCTGAGCATTCGCTCGACCGCTCCAGCTGGTATTTTGCAGAGCGCCGCCGCCACCGGCTCCCGCCACAGCCAGCGCAGCGGCGCGGCACGCAGACTGAAAGGCCGCACTACGGTCTTGCGGCTAGCCGCCGCTGCCGGCTCCCGCCAAAGCCAGCGCAGCGGCGCGTCCACCGGATATCGCGGCACGTCGCCGCCGCCGGCTCCCGCCATAGCCAGCGCAGCGGAGCGGCCACTTGGTCTTGCGGCACGGCAGCAGCCAACAGCATGATCGCCGGCACCTGCGCATTGAACATTTTATTAATAGGTGACATTTTCTCAGAGGACCTGACACGCGACCCAGAAGAAATGCATAATATAATATATTCAAGGAAAACCTTGTTCAAAGAAATGTAAAGCATATGATTTCAAATAAAACACAAATTGGTCCATTAGAACAAACAGAGTCAAGAAGCCCAAAAACCAAACAATGTGTTCTGTATGTTAGCAGCCCGTGAAAAGGTAACGCTGTAACTTCTGAGCGGTATGACAATTTGTTACGTTATGTTTCTCTAAAGATTGTTGTACACGAAAACAACACAAATCATGCCGTCAGCTCCAGCCGGATAATGTCGCGTGTAAAAGCATTAGCAGCCCAATTACAACCATATCATAAGTTATCATACCTGAGTTACCGCTGCACTGATCCAGCTGGTGACCCGTCACCGCCGCCGGCTCCCGCCATAGCCAGCGCACCGGCGCGGTATACAGAGTGCGGCCACGCTTGACGCTACAGTCTTGTACGTCGCCGCCGGCTCCCGGCTATGATGCGGTGGAGAAGGCCCTTGTTGTAGTCGAGGAAGACGGGCTGCTTCCAACGACTGCACAAGGATCGGACCATCACCACCTGCATCTTGTCGTTGGGGCCGTAGACCGCGTCGTCCGTGGAGTCGTACGCCACGCGGGGATCGATGGTGATCTCGTCGAAGGACATGACGAGCAGCCTCTCATGCGACGTTATGGTGTCTGCGGACGAGCGCATGATCTGCAGAACTATGTCCAGGATCCTAGGTGACGTCCGGAAGCCTCGAGTCCAGCGGCGGAGGGTGGAGAGGCCAGGCAGCTGGAACTTCTTCATGAGGAGCCGATAACACATTCTCCTCGAGCAGCAGCGAATCACCTATCTAGCGCGCGGAGGACGACCAGCAGCGTCACTCTGGCAGACGCCGCTGTGCTGTGCCCCAGACCGGCACAACAGCAAGGCCACACTAGTCTTGCGACCCGTCGCCGCCGCCGGCTCCCGCCACAGCCAGCGCAGCGGCGAGGCACGCAGACTGAGAGGCCACACTAAGGTCTTGCGGCTAGCCACCGCTGCCGGCTCTCGCCACAGCCAGCGCAGCGGCGCGTCCACCGGATATCGCGGCACGTCGCCACCGCCGGCTCCCGCCATAGCCAGCGCAGCGGAGCAGCCACTTGGTCTTGCGGCATGGCAGCAGCCAGCAGCATGCTCGCCAGCACCGCCACGGCACCAGGTCCTGCGAATTGCAATTTTTTTTAATAGGTGGCATTTTCTTAGATTGCCAGACACGCGATCCAGATGAAATGCATAAAATAATATATTTATGGAAAACTTTAGTACTGGTAAGGTAAGGTAAGGTAAGGTAAGGTAAGAAATGTAAGGCATATGATTTCAAATGAAACACAAACTGGCCCATTAGACCAAACGGAGTCAAGACGACCAAAAACCAAACAATGTGTTCCAATGTTAGCAGCCCGTGAAAGGTAATGCTGTAACTTCTGAGCTATGGCAAAACATTTATATGTTATGTTTCTTTAAAGATTGTTGCACACAAACACAGCACAAATCATGCCGTCAACTCCAGCTGGATAATGACGCGTGTGAAAGCATTAGCAACTCAATTGCAATATTATAAATAATCATACCTGAGTTTCCGCTGAACTGATCCAGCTGGTGTCTTGCGACCAGCTGCCACCGCAGGCTCCTGCCACAGCCAGCATAGCGGCGCGGCACACAGACTGAGAGGCCACGTTAAGGTCTTGTGGCTAGCCGCTGCTGCAGGCTCCCGCCACAGCCAGTGCTGCAGCATGTCCAACTGGTCTTGCGGCACGCAGAAGCCACACACAAAAGTCTTGTGGCACGCAGAGGCCACACAAGTCTTGTGACGAGCAGAGGCCACACAGTCTTGTGACACGCAGAGGCAACACACAGTCGTGTGACGTACAGAGGCCAGACATAAGTCTTGCAGGACGCAGAGAGGCCACACTAATGCGCAGCAGCGAGGCACGCAGACTGAGAGGCCAACATTTGGAGCCTGCTCTGCTCCATACAAATTCTGGTGAATCTGCACCAGCACAGCACCATGCTGATGCATGGTGAATCCACACTAGACCGACATCAATGGAGAGCCCAGCCAATGCACTAGTCAAGTAATCTCACCTGAACAATTTTGATCTGTGACTTGCCAAAGAATATACACTTATGGCAGAGAGGGACATCGTCCAGCAAGCTTTTCAGAATCAGGATCACCCATTCCATTCCAAGGGCCTGAATGACTGGACCGACTGGACTTCGAAACGTACCTACTACGAACCAATTTTGTTCAATTTCAATTTTGGCACTTCAGAATCACTTGCAATCAGTGCGCGCCCCTCATATGCACAACGCCGTCTAGCAACTTCAATATTCATCTTGAAAATCCAATTCTAATTAACCATACATAGCACAACAAAACAAATCTAGCTAACATATTTCGGGCAACATGGCGTCGGCGACGGAAGTGGCGCACGTCGCCATTGTTAATATACGGTTTATAACAAAAACGATATAGTTTTTCACAAATTTAGCCATTTTCCGTAAAACCATATGTTTAATGAGGTATATCATTCGAAACTCGATACGCCAATCTATCTAAAGCAATAATTTGTAGAGGCCAGCTCCCTCTCATTTTTTAACTACCTCTTTACCATAGTGCCATTTTTCACTCAGACATTGAAGCCTTTAGGGCCAAATTTAGCCTATTTCCGTAAAACCTTAAGGTTAATGGAAGCTAACAGCTAACAGACAATTAAATACTGGTGCTAATTTCAATTTTTATAGAGGCCAGCTCCCTCTAGATTTTTTATAGGGACGCTCTGTTTAAGGGCCATCACTTCCTATCGAGCACAAAATGACACTTCGAAGAGCGATGATTTAATGTTATGCTGTTGTTTTCCAAAAAGCGCATATCAAGATAATGCAAAAATTAATTTCCTTTCTAAAAATATCCAAATAAAGAAGTTTCACAGCCTAGATACTGAGATATCCGAGGCTTCCTGAAGGCATGATATCATACCGTGAAATTACAAATTTCTTGGCAAGAACGAATTTAGATGAGGATAACTAAAAACATGTCCTTATTAAATCGTAAAACATAAGTAATAGCAAAGTATTAGGAAAATCTGTAAAGTAGTTACGTAGCAAGTATCTTGCAAATCATGCTAGCACTAGTTGTCAAGACCTGAACCCGTTGCCTTCATGTTGAAGGAATTTCTCGGTGTTACCTAGTGTTTTTATATACCTTGCAAGTCTGCAGGAGGGCCGAAATCTGCCTCCGCAGAAACGGCGCCAGTGCCGAAAACTGAAAGCATGCAAATTGCAAGTGTCTGAAGCCATCACGACAGAAAAAGCCATTCTTTTGCCAATACAATAGTATATCGCTCTATGTGTTATGAATACAATTACTTAGATTTTGAGCCTATTTAAAATGAACGTTCATTATGGAACACCTGTAGAAGCTTTGGCCATGGTAGGCAATGGGGCATAGCTGCAAGCAGGATCTTCGATTTAAGAACACATCAAGATTAAATTACATGCATCACACTTGCAATAAAAACAAACTCAAGTGATAAGTATCTTTAAAAAATGAGGATGAAAGAACATGTACGTATCTAAAAACATAAAAAGCATTATTAGAGGAATAATGCATGGTTATTCAAGTGACCTGTTAATCTTAGGGTAGTTGGTTGCAAATGGGATTTTATAATCTATATGGTCGAGAGATATTACCTTCAGAAGGGTTTCCCTTCGTGGTCATACATTTTTGATGTTTACAAAAATGAACACTGGGTGGTGCACACTGCACACCTTGGTTTCAATCAACTCAATCTCAAATTATTTCATTTAAACTACAATTACCATGATGAATATGATGCATAATAATCACAACAATTGCTACTTTTTACTTACTATCAACTCTCATGGATACAGGATGCATGTGTTTTGATTTCATTATCACACCAACACAGTTGTACGAGATGCTTACACAAAGTATGATGTTATTTGTTGATGTTATTCAGCTGGGACAGTGATATTGTATTGTTCAGTTTGTTCAAAACCAGTGTCCTTGCCCGTTTTGGGTGGGAAGTGACATCCAAATGGAATCAATTTTCCCCTTTCATCTCCAATTTTCCAGAACAATTTTTCACTCCTAATTTTACCAATAAAGAGCACTTGCACGTACATTTGCTGGTCGGCTTGGTATATAGGGCCTTGGTCGGCTTTAACCTACCTCCAATAATCATTATTTATATTACATTGAATGATCATTAATGCAGCTCCCACATTCTCCAATATTCACAAAAAATATTGATGATCCCTGTTTCAACTTTATTGTGCCTGTGCCTTTATTGTTATTTACTGGCGATTTTCCACTCTCAGACCTCTTTGCAGTGCGGAGTATCTCTAGCCGACACCCAAGCCGAAATAAAATTTTGGGACAATGTTCAAGACACCAGCTTTATTTCTTAGTAATGAAAAGTTTCAGAAGACTTCAGTCTGCCTTCATCAGCCTGTCATAGCTATAAAAATATATACAAACGACCAACATAGAAAAGACAACACACAAATGTCGTATGAGAGCTACCATTGCAAATAGATAAAACTGGTGTAAGCAATCTTTGCAATACAATTTATATGCAAAGCATGCTCACAGTTAAATCCAAAGGTGTCTTCATGTCTCACATTTGATAAAGAACCTTGAAACTTCTTTTTAAACACACTGTTGAGTAGCAGTGAAAGAATGAGAGAGCATGAGGCTGCAGCCCACCACCCGAATTCAAGTTCAGCAATATGCAAATTTGCACACAACTGCCCAGAAAGTATCAGTATCAGTATCAGTGTATTTAAAAACCTTCCACATGGTGGCTATTCAGGCTTTCCGTCATACATTACCACACACGCAAGAACACCATTGGTAGGAATAAAAGTGGCTAAAACGATCTGACATTAAACGAGATTTTAAAGTCATTTGTTCACATAATTCCATGCATAATAAAGAGCGGATTTTTTATGCATACGGTACGGGCCCTCCTAGTCATTGCAACAGTCCTCTCAGTACTGATAGGGGCTCTTCCATGATTGCCATTGACTGACATAACCCTCATTAATATGTCAGGGTACGGACTACGGAGTACGGACCCTCACATCAAACTTGCGGTGGCTCTCTCAGTACTTAGGGTGTATCGTCGAATTTTGATTTTTTTTAATCGTCTTCACTACTAAATTTTATTGGTCCCTGGCATGTTTGAAGCCGTAGGATACCAATTAAAAAAATCTGGGACGAAAACCTAGCCTGCTGCGAGCGGTTGAACGGAAGCCTGTCGGGGCGGCGCCAGGCGTTGAAGTCTCCCCGTTAGTTACGCGCACACTAGCACCACGCGGCGGCTGGCGCCGTGCCGCCGCGTTCCCGGTCAGCCGTGTTTTAGCGTTCACTGACGGGTCGAGGTGATTATTCTAAGCTTTCCTAAGAAGCTTTCTGCCCCGCAGCTCATTATTGAGCTAGAATATCGCACAAACTGCATAGAACATTGACATGCAGGTTGTCGGCACATATGGAGAAGGGGATGTTTTGGTTAATGCCTCCTTTAATAGGAAGAGATTGTGGAAGAACAACACATTTCTTTTGGAAATTACTCATCCTCCTTCTTCCTACGTGCCTGCTTTAGTAATCGAAGTACCCCTATTGACTCTACGTCCTTGATTCGGCTGTCGATTTTATGCATGGAATTCCGCTATATTATATTTTCTCGCTCAATGTCCCCTGAGCTATATTGAGGCGTCACGGGACAGCAATGCTCAGCACACAACCGCAGAGAAAGTCAATGTGGCCATGCGTTTTGTATGCCAAAATGTGTGAGCCTTGGTGTGTACCAGCAGCCGTTGTCACCATTGTAATTTTCACGACTTTATCTTTATAAGGATGCAATTTCCCACTTCCTAGTTCCCAGACTGGGTTTGGAGATATTATAGTTTTACAGAAACATTTGGGAATGTCTGTAATGTAAGTTAAAGCGAATACCGAAAGGAATCCACATATTTTCGATTTCCTGTTTGCTGTATTGCTTAGTAAATGCCAGA